CCTATTTATAGCTGGTGTAAGTAGTGTCCTTTCAGTTCTGTTATCCCATTGCTGGTGATGTCTTTCTGTTTTGCTTGGTGAGATGAGAAAAAGAAGAAACATACCTTTCTTCTGCTATATAAACTGGGTACAGTTCCCACAAAAATTCAGAGAGGAGAAAAATTAGGATTAGGTCACTCTATGCAGCGGGTGAGGCTGCACTAGTAAGTGCAGTTTTCCTTCTGCCTTGAAGCAGGGGTGGTGTGGTCTAACAAATACAGTCTCCTGCAAGTTTTTTTGCTTTTTTTTTTTTTTTTTAAAGTATTACTGGAGTAAAACTGTCAAGTTTATTTTGCCTAATAGTTAAAATAGGAACCCTGTGGAAGTAAGCCTCAAGTCAGAGGCACAGCTACAAACACTCTGCATACTGCTGGTTACAGTTAAATAACCAGCCTCTGGGAAACAGGGGAGGTCTGTAGAGAACCCAGCACAAGCTGAAGTGTCCAAGACAGCTATTCTTTTGTCTCAAAGTATTTCCTGAGCTGTAATGATTACCCACTCACCACACGGAGGCATTATGAACATCAGTATTTTTAAAAATCAGAGCACTTTGAGTGCTGGTGATGGGGGAAATGCATGTGTAAAGTGTGGGGGGAGCCAAATCCTTTTGGTTTTGAAGTGAAAGAGATAATACTTAGTTTTTTTGCAACACTTCATTTTCTTTGTGGAGTAAAAATCCAATTTTAATATGACAAAGAGACTGCTGGCTAGCATAGAAAAGGATTAATGGCACCTCACACTGAGAGAGAGATATTTGGAAGTAATTTGTTTGGTCCTGCTGATTTTTGTGGCAATGGAAAGCTAAGCTGCTCTGTCTTTAGAAAGCGTGCCCACAGGGAGTGCCAGACAGCTTTTCTGCCACTCCAAATTAATCATGCAAATTGTTGTTCTGCCAAGATAATATCCTTAGGTACACTTGTAAACTTAAGAAGATTCTGTTGAGAATTGAACAGAATTAACAAAATACTATTGTAATAAATGGAATGATGTGGATTCAGTCTAAAAATAAAATTGGACAGTTTTCTTTTAAAGCCTGCATTAATTAGTCAATGATGGGGAAAATGGCTATACAGTACATTTTCTAAGCTAAAAATAAGTTATCATCATCTTCCAGAAAATGCTAGTGGTTTACAAGGATACTAGAACAATGTAATTTATCACAAAGCTTTTGCTGTGTGTAAAAATTACTTAAAGATGTCTTTAATGTACTCTTGAGTCCCTTTACTGAGAATTTTTTTTAATCTTTTTTTTTCTCTTTGCAAGACCAGTGTTTTTAAGGATGTCACTAGAAGACTAAAAATCTGTAGGGTAATATTTGTGTAATTACTTCTGGGTCTGGGGCCAGTTGCAATCCCTGATAACGGAAACAGTGTCAAAATTCTAAATGATTAACTGTAACATTTCCAGCAATATCCTGTGGAGATGCAGTAGACTCCTTCCTTCATCTTACAGCTAGGTCATTCCTCGTCCTGAAACGGTGAACTGGAGGAGAGCATAGTTCAGGAGATAGATGGGAACCTCCAAAAGCAAGATTTAGGAAAGGAAAAGGGTGGAACGATGACCTGCTGTCACACTTCTCGCTGCGCTTAAATGGGGTAACGTAAGTGTTATGCTGCTAAGTCATGTTCTATTTTTAATGAGTTAAATTTGGTTTGATCACATGGTCTTGTTATATTGTTTATGAATTCCAGGTTCTGTGATAACTTAGATAAGTGCTTTTTGTCTTTTAACTAACTTCCAGTCTCTTACCTTCGCAGTTTATTTTTGCAATGAGCTATGATCGTCTCTTTACCGATGAAGAAGTGGCTCCTAGTTTAAGTGAAGGTGAAATGCACACCTTCATATACGTACCTGATACTTAAAAGCAAACTGAACATCAGAAACCAGTCTTGAAAACAGTTGTGCCCATTTTTCAAATAAAACACCAATAAAGCCACTGAAATCTGTTGGCAAGAAACAGGCCTTGCAATTCAGGTTTTTTCAATCCTGTAATATGAAAACTCTACAGAAGGTGTTACAAAGGTTTTTATCCTGTATCACACAGACTTTAAAACTTACATTGTGGTTTTTTTATGTTTTAAAATAATGTCCAGATTAGCTTAAGAAATATTTACTGCCTTTCCAGGAATGTTGGAAGGAATCATTCCTCTATTTCCCTGTAGCGTATATATGTTGTCCAACTCTCCCCAGTCTGTTTCACTTGCTGCTGATAGCCATTGCTTCTTCAGGTAAAGTACCTCAGGCAATTGTGAACTGTACCCTTTGAGACAGATTTTGTGCTAATTCTCTAGGGGTGTTCCTGTGTTGCACAATGAAGGTCCAAGATCTGAGCTAGTTGAGAATGAGCTGATACAGCTAAATGGCTCATCGTGCTTCTGTGCAGACACACGGGGTTGTGTCCCAGAAACAGTATGTTAATGTGTACAGCTTCTGGCCTAATCAGCCTAGCTTCCCAAGTCTAATTGTTAACCTCTGAACATGAATAATTAGCCAGACTGCAGTAGCAACGATACTGTTTCCTACTTCGGTGCTAGCTTACTCAGAGCCTGCTCAGTAATATTTTTTGACTGCTGCTCTTTATAGTGTGCATATGCTCTTAAAAGGGAGGTATAGCCCAGAGGCTGCTGTGATTAACGCCTATCCTATTTTACACAGTATTTCAGGGAACCCTCTCAACCTGTTCTGGAGGTTGTGAAGTTACCCAGAATCTCTGCAACCTGACGCTTGCTTTACCCTAGGGCTAGTAAAGATGTTTTTTGAAGAGAGCTGCATGGAAAGTAGCAATCCTGTTTGTCCTGGGAAAAACCTCTCATTAGCCAGAGTTAGGCTTTTTAAGCATCGCTGAGAAACTAAGTATTGTATTTATGTACCTGTGATACAGGCTGCAGTTTCCTTCTCCTAAAATGGCTAGAGATCACCATAAAATATTCCATTTTCTTATATTGCTGTGAATTGAAAACAAATCCTGACATGTTGAGAGTGTTGGCCTTGCACATTTTGCAGAAATAGGAGTAATTAGTTAATTCTTAAATTAGAGTTAAATAAAAGAACCTAAGGGTTTGGGTATCAATCATCCAACCACAAATATTAATATATATATAAAAATATATATTACACTTTGAAACTCCCTAGATGTATGTTGCATGTAATGAAAGGCCAGTATTTCAAATCTGAGGGCCAAGTAAGTGTGACTTGCAAAGCTTCCAGATTCATATATCCAGAATTCAGAATACATTTTCCAGTAGATTAATTTGTAAAACTCCATTGGAACTTCTGAGGTTGAAAATTTTAAATCGAAAGTTATTTTTTAGGGTTAATTTTTAGATATCTACGCTGAAACAATTGGAAAGATGAGTTTTCCTGAAATGATCAGAGAGTATAAAATCCTGGCTGTCCTGAAGCCAGCAGTAGACTTCTAATTCACTTCAATAAGGTTCAGTGTACATTTGTTTCTCAAAATTATGTTTTTTAAAAAAAAATGTGCCAAATCCGGCATCCAAAACCAAAGGTGCCCAGATTGTTTGGTATGTTTATAAACCTTGGTTTGAACAGAGTAGAATATGAATTCTACTTAATGCATGATTAAGATTTTGAAATCCCTCTTTCTAAAATTAATACATATGCAGCAAGTTATAGCATGGGTATTAATTTAAAAGTTATATTAAAAAGCATATAAAATGAGCACGTTATTTTAATTTTTACTTAATTATGTTTTGAACTAGGTTATCTCATTGTATTATCTGACTATTTTTTTGAAGAATCGTATAAAGGTGTGTGGTGAACTGGTAGCTAAGCAAAAAGTTGTCTGAAGTTTGCAATGTTTAATGGAAATTATTTTTCCTAATCCTGAAAGGCATGTAAACTGAGTGAATTCAAATATATATTATTCATTGGTTTTTATAATTTATTTATCTCTGCTTCATTACACAAATCCTATACATGTATTCTGCCTGGTGAATGGTTTCAGTAATGCATGCGATCTAGAAAGTGAGTTCATGTGTCGGAGTTCGACTGAAGTGTGTCCAACTGTGGAGTTTAATCTTCAGAGCCTAAAATTTGGGGGTTATGTGACCACCAGCTTGCTAAAACATACATGTAGGCCACCACAGCGTGTGGCGCACACATTCATTTTGTGGATCCCCACAGACCAAATGCATTTCTTGTGTAATGGGATTAAACATTTCACTCCAGAAATCACGTTGTTGATCTGGGGGCTCATTTGCTTACTTTGATAAATTCTGGTGTTAGAAATACTCTAATATTTTCGTATCGATCTGGAAGAATTCGTGTTTTCCCTTCATATAGAAAACAGGACTAAACCTAAATTAAGTGTGATGCAAAGCAACATTACCTGAAAGGTGACTTGGGAATTAAAAAATAATTGGATTTAAGTAATTTTTGTTTCATTATATATGGAAATAAGACAGCAGTGTTTTCGCTGAGGTTTTTATTGCAGCCTATAGAAGCAATTTTACTTAAAAATATGAGGAAAATCTCGGAATTGGTGCCTTGAGAGGGGAATTCAGCTGGTTTTCAAAGCCTTTGCTTTCTGTTTGTGGCTTTGGAAAAAAAAAATACATCACTTTTTGACGAGGATTTAGCACCCCTCCTATTCTAGTTGCTGAGGAAACCCCCTCTTCTGAGGGGGGTTTCTGAACCCCCACGTTCAGTGCTTGTCGTTCATCCAATTACTCCGTTAAGAATGGGTTTTGTTGGTTTTTTTTCCCCTCAGGTGCCAGCCTCACCTTCCCTAACTTCTCCATTTATGCTTTACTCACACACACCTGTGGGGGGAAGAGAAAAAAAAAAAATCCCTCCCTGTTTATTTCTCTTCCTCGCCCCCGCGCCAGGGGGGGGGGGGGGGGGGGGGGGGGGGGCCCCCCCCCCCCCCGCGGCGGCCTCACCCCGTCCCGTCCCCCCGCCGCCTCAGCCGGGCCCGCCCCTCTCCCAGTTTCCTCCGCGGCTCCCCCCCTTCCCCGAGCCAGGCGGAGCTGGAGCTGGGAGCGACCGTCGTTCCTCGCTGCCGCCGCCTCTCCCCAGTGACCGAAGGCACCGGCGCCGCCCGGCGGGACCCTCTTTCGCCGCCCGACGCTTAATTCCCGCCGTCGCCTCTCGCTGGAGCCGGCGCTGCCCCCGCGGAGCAGCCATGAGCTGGGGCACGGAGCTGTGGGTGAGTCTCTCCCCCCCCCGCCGGGGGGGGGGGGGGGGGGGGTGTAGGCCCCCGCCTCTCCGCTGGGCGTGAGTCAGCGCTTTTACTGGGGGGTGGGTGTGAGGGCGAGGAGGCCTCGAAGCCGCCCGGGATACAAAGACCCGCGGCCTCGTCGCCTACTCCTGCCCGGCGCCCCCCCCTCCTCCTCCTTCATCAGCCGCT